CAAAAAGGAAATACTGAGAATAAACTAAAGGAAAACTTCTTTAATTGAGGATAAGGATGAGTAAGTAAGAGTGAAAGCAAAAAAGATTTTCAACGTCGAGAGGCATCACGTTTTATTTTTCTGAAAAGTCGTTCGTTTAATTGTTTTTCATTGAATAGATATTATATCATAATCATCAGATACATATGTGTCAGGCAAAGTTGAGTTTTAGGCAAAATTAAACTTATTTTTTAACAAGTATCACCTGTAGTTAATTTGAAAAAAAATTGAAATAGATAATTGAAATTGAACTAAACTTGTGAAGATGTAGAGTTCAGGGGTTCTAAGAAGTCGTAATGAGCATCACGTCAATAGTCCGACCAAAAAAGAAGAAGAAGGAGGATATATTCAAAATTGTTTAAATGTGTCCAGTCCTAGTATGAAAATATTTTTTTTCTTAAAACTAATTGCAATTTCTACCGCTCACTCTTGTCACAATTGCAGTCGATTAGATTATTTTCTTCTTCATATAGATCTCTACGAGCAGGTTGCAGAAGTTTGATGGTCATATGCTTTCGTCTTATCAATATTTTTCTAGCTTTATCCAACCAACTATCATTTGTTGAATGATCTTGTCTCTCTTGAAACTACTGTTATGACTATCTGGGAATCCAGTATACTTCTAGAGTACTTTAACTCTCTGTATACCTACGTTGTCTCTTTGTATTTATCATGGATGAAATATTTATCTAAATCTAATTATAAAAGAAAAATTTATTTCTTGGTTTTGCGCCTAATTATAAATATATTTTGACTAAGTTTAACTTTATCTAAAACTCCATTTTGCCTGGGGCATATATATTGAAAACCTAAGCTAATCATAAGTGTTTTTTTTTAAATCTATTCTCATTACATAGAAACATGGTTCGACAAGTCCAAACATTTTCTGGTTTATTCTATTGGGTATAGGTCTTATTTGCGTTAGTATTATATATATGATTATTGGTTTATCAATATTAATTTCATTTATTTATTGGACATACAGATTTTGTACGAAGAAATGGTTTTCTAAAGAAAAGACACAGGTAAGACTTAATATTAATCGAATATTTTCTTTTTATTATGTTCAAATTCAGATATTGTAAAGAATTTGAAGAAGAATTTTTCTTTACAAAAATATATTTATCTAGGGAAGTTTTATCGAGAAGAGATTTGTTTTCTTTCTAAAATGACAAATAATACGAAGATTAAGTTTGAGAGACATATTCTAAACAAAATATCTCATTTTCTTGAAAAATTGAATAAAACTTTATTTGGTTCAAGAAAGAATAAAAATGAAAATATTCGATTATTTAAAGATTTGTCAGAGTGAATAATTATGTAAAAGTGTTTTGAAGAAATTTAATAAATTAGAAACATTTGTTTATGATTAAATAAAATAATATTGATAGAAATCATTTGTAGATTTATCAAGAAATTTATTTTTAATTAAATATGAAAGATTTTATTTGTATATCGATATAAAACATATTTAATACCGATTTACGAAGTATCACAATGTGTCCAACACTTTTTCATTGCGGTTCCCTAGATGTTTGAATTCTTCTAAAGATTGTATATCTATATTTACAATTCGATAAGTAGAATTATTTCTGTTTTTCTAGTTCTATTTTTCGTTCAATAAAATAAGAATATGATATTATTTCCAAAGAAGTAAAATCTTTATTTATTTTTGATATAGATAAAGAATAATCAATGTAAAAATCGATCATCACTTAAATGGAATTTAAAATTTATTCATCTTCACAAATATTTTTTTATCGTGGTTTCATCATCAAAGTCAACAAGAAGAATTTATTATATGAATTTGTATAAATTAATGTATATATTTATCTTTCTTTATTGAAAGATGATTCATTTATATGAAAATTTCATAAAATATTTTGTACATTTTTTTGTGGCTATTTTGCCAAATATTATTGGTATTAACATTGTTTTTATAATCCAAATGTATTAATTGATGTTTTTCTTTTTATTCTATTGTAAATAAAATAAATAATATTCATTGGAGACTTAACTCTAGTACTATCAATCAGAGTTATAGTCGGCCTAAATTTTTTAGACCGCTGCGATTTGGCCGGTTTCAAAATTTTCTTAAACTGGTAAAAATTGGCCGGTTTCAAGTGCTTATCCAGATCGGTGGAAACCGGTCGGTTTTCCAGAACATTTTAAAGTCGTTATATGTAATATCATTAACAACAACTAGCTTTTCTTCAATTTTACTATATTTTTGAGTCTTGAGAAAAAAAAATATTGCGTTAGAGTCACTTACAACTGTGAGATTCTCTCAAGATGAAAGTGTGATATTTCTCTATCATTCAAAAGAGTCGATCTACGCAACAGATGACTGCCAGACGTCGAGAGTTTTGAAACGTTCTCCTAAAATTTCACCAAAAGATCTAATATCTCTCTTAGATTTATGTCCTAACTTCAAGCATGGTCAGAGGCAAAATATCGATGAAATTGTATTCAGAAATGAATTTCGAGTAATACAATCTGATTGTGTGTTTTTCACAGTGAAATTCAGTTTCATTCAGGAGGATGTGGGTATATAATTGAAGATAATACCCACACCGACACTCACATCGACACCCACACCCACATCCACACCGACACTCACATCGACACCCACACCCACATCCACACCGACACTCTCAGTATTCTCTCCGGAATGGTGACAAATCTAGGTCTTTTGCATCATTGTCGTTAAAAGTTATTTAAAAAGGATGTGGGTGTCAAGTGCTTCTTAAGGCACACCCACATCCATACCCACACCCACACACCCACACCCTGTTGCTATTGAAGTTATGATTGATAGCCGTTTTAACACTTGCAAAGTGAAAAAAATTTATCACTTTGTTATACAAATATTTCTGTCGTTATTGATTTTCAAAATTTTGGTGGTTTAAGCACCCCAATACGAAGTGTCGAACATGCTCTATAAGAAAAAATTTCATTTCTATTTTGTTTAAAATACTGGCCATTTAAACGGTCAAATACACCGAATATTGGGCGTACTACGAAACAAAATGTTGCATTATTCTTGTGTTCAAAATGTTAGGCGTCTAAGCGTCCAGTTACAGAGAACTTCAAACGTGATTGGTAGGAAATTGCGCAGCATTGTTTTGTTGAAAATTTCGGACGCTTTAACGCTCGAATTCAGTGAATTTCGGATGTTGAGTAACAAAATTTTTCATTTCTATTTTGTTGAAAAAATTGAACGCTTAATCAGCTAAATGCAGAGGACTCTCGGCATGTTAACGAAAAATACTTTCATTTTTCTTCTACTTAAAATTTTTGGTGTTTAAATGTCCAAATACAAAAGAATTTAGAGTGTGTTTAGTAAGAAAATTTTTCATTCCAATTTCGTTGAAAATATTGAGCATTTAAACGGCTTAACGTACAGAATTCTGGATGTGTTGCATAGCATAAATTTTTACTCTATTTTTTGTTCCAAGTGTTGAACGTTTAAACAGTTAAGTGATAAAATTTTTCATCCTTACGTTATGGAAAATGCCAGACGTCTAAACGCTCAAATACAGAGAATAATAAACATGTTAAGAAAGAAAATTTTTATCTCTCGACACTTTTCATGCCTACACAACTTTTAACTTACATTACTGCATGAACATCGATGTACACTTACAACACTGATATTTTTACAGTAGTTTAATGCGAAAAGAAAGGAGTTTTATAAACGCTGAAATAGTAAAATCTTGACGATATTACTCTACCAGACAAAAGTTTGGGAAAATGCGTTTCAGCGCATAAAAAAGAACCACGGTTGTGAGCCATTCACGCTAGTCATTAAAACACCAAAAACGCCGTTTCTAACGTGAAATTATCACTGTTAGAGCGTTACAATGGTCAAAAACTCCTATTTTTAGCGTTTAAACGCGCTTTTGTTCTATAATTTAAAATGCATGGGTTTAAACGCTAAAAATAGATGTTTTTGACCGTTTTCACACTAGAAAAGTGATAATTTTACGCTAAAAGTCGCGTTGGTGTGTGGCGTGGGTGTGGTGTTTAGTGAATATAGCCAAGAAAATCGTAATTTTCCTGGTTTTCGCTCGAAACGAGTATTTTGTACCGTCTTTTTTTTTCAACTTTGATGTCATTTTCGAAATCAGTATTGAAAACTGCATCTAAACATGTGCCAAAGATATTGGACCAAGAACAAATTATCGATCAGAAAATGTACCAGTTTGTAGGAAATCAGTAATTTTCCACTAAGTTTTCAGTTTAGAGTCTCAGCAAGACGGAACTTGTGTTTTGACAATTGTCATTTTATCATTTTATATGTGCTCGATAAATTATCAGTTTTTATATATAAAAATATGTGTTTGACTATTTCAGACTTATTCGTAATATAGACTGCTGATTAAAACGAAATGGCTCTCGGAATGCACGATCAACGGTAAAAGTTAGTTCCTTCATGCTAAATTTCAATTTTTGAACGATGAAAATGGTATTCACATTCAGCGTGAAATTTCCCATCAAACCATATGCTTATTATGATGGACAAAGACAAAAGCTGTCGAGCAATTCTTAAGAGGAATGTAGGTAGTTTTTATGCAAACATAATGAGGGATGAAAAATGTCCTGATGCGTAGTCATCCTGTATATGATATGTTTTTTCTTTCATTATTAAGTTTCTTACATATACTTAAGGATCTACTTTCATAAAGATAATTTTGCTGTTATAGTCCAATTGGTAGTTATCATTTTTTGATTCACATGCAGCAATCAATGAGCAAAAAACACAGCAAATATAGATTTGCATGAAAGATTCTTGATTCAATTTTACGCACGAATATATGATTTGATATATTCGTTTATTAATTTCTTTTTTTTTAAATTTTTGATATAAATGAAAATGTATTTTCGGTTATAAAAAAACAAAATATATATATAAATATTTGGATGCAAACCAACAGAAAACAATAAAAACAAGGGTAACTTTATCCAAGTCGTCCAAAACATGAATAGTTGACTTCTGTGCACTTCGTTTGTGGATCAAGACCAACACCATAAACTGGTAAATATCTATAAAAACATCTAAAACAAATATTTATATATATATATATATGTATATAAATATATTCAAAGATACTTTTCTCTTGTCTTACTTAATTCTTATTAAGGATGAATTATATGGACTAAAATCCAAATTCCACATACATGGTCTTTTCTTATTTCGAGATGAATGATTAGCATTTGATATTTTTGCATTGTCGACACTTGATGACCGACTAATCACTGATGGTCTTCTTTTCATATCAAAAGAAAATGAATCACGTGATAAATTTGTTGACGATTTATCAGTTTTTCCTGATGACGAATGACCACTCGATAATAGATTTAGCAATGACTAAAAATCAAATCAATGATTTATGAATTAGATCTTTTCAAATAGTTTTAACTGAGGAAAAACAGGATAACATATCAAAGAAATTGTTTTGATCGAGACGTCAGTTATTTCTCTTGCTGAAGTCATCTTTATAGAAAAACTACATTTGAAACTAAATCAACTATAATATAGTAGTAATAACACATCTGGAACTAATCAATATTGGCAAAGGTTTATTTTTGAATTTTCGACTATTATATTAAATGAATTATTCATTAACTGAAAATCATTTTTCCTAGAATGGAAACATCTGAAAAGTGGTATCAGAAGTATGATTGAAAAACTTGTTTCTAAATATTTTTATTCATCGAGATGTAAAGTTCTTCAAGTCTTTAGGTCTACTATTTTTCTACTCTTTCATAAAATTGACGATCATAGAATAATAAATAATTGAAAGCATTCTTTAGATTAGATATTGGAATGCGTAAATGATTTTTATTTTATACTTACGAGGGACATCTTCCAGTTGATTAGTCGCTTGTAATTTGGGACTGTATACATTATGTAGACTCATATGAGCTATGAATATCTTGAAAAGAATTCAAGTCCTTGGCTTATTGCTGCGAAGATAATTCATTGATACGGAATTTTTTAACTCAATGTCTTGGTCTTCATCAAGAGCACCAGGAAAACTGATTTTCAACTTTCGACTGAAAACTTTATGTAGAGGCAAGCCCTAGCCGGAGTAATTTAGGATGAGAGTTTCAGAGTTTTCGTTGTTCATATCCTTAGATACGACTACGATAATTGCGTGTCTTTGGCATCAAAAATATACACCGACAGATTCGTGTTCTTATTTCATGATAGAAACATATCAAAGAAACCTAAAACTTTCATCATAAACTATTCATATTAAGCTATATTTCTGTACAAACTATCAAATGGAAATTTGAATATCAGTTTTCCTGGTGTTGCAAAGAAGGACATAGTATTGAGTTTAAAGAAACGTTGTAAAAATGCAGCATATCTTCGCAGCAATAAGCTAAGGATTTACACTCTTTTCGAGTTATTCGTAGCTCATTAGAATCTATCTGATGCACATAGTATCAACTCAAAAGCAATTAATCAGTTAGGAGACGTTTATGTTAAGTCTTATAATCTCATGGATCTTATTTATATCCTATTACATATTTTATATGATTAGTCTTATAGCTTGCTTACTAGGATTTGGTCCTAGAATTCATCAGTGCATTTGTTTTGAGCACAAATAGAACAGACTAATTCCGTCTTTCCTTTATACATCAAAATTCCTTTTAGATAATTCACAGATTAAAACCCATCTAATTCTAAATTTTCATACGACTTACTCTTGCTGGTCGAAGAGTTCCTCCAGTTGATTTTCGACTTTTTTTTTGTTGTTTTTCATCATCAGGTTCTCCTCCACGAGCACTAGATGGACGTGGTAAACGTATTTTATCTTTTTTCAATTTTAATGATTGAAAAATTCCACTACGACGAAGTGATGTTGTTGAACCATATGGATCAATTTGTGGACTATCTGTATCATTTTCGGATTGTTGTTGTTGACGATTTTTTGAACGAACTGCTGACGAGTCCATATTTTTCGATAATTGAGGACCATATTGAGAAGATTCTGGTATTTGTTCACTTATGCGATGATGACGACGACGATGACGTCGAGTATCTTCTGACATAGGCGCACTCGGTGGACGAGGTTCATGTCGTTGTAAACCGGATGGTTTATTTTCATTATCAGACATATCCTCATTGGATGAATCATCTGACAATGATGAATCTAAATGATTATCAGTATTTGATATCTCATTGAAAAAATTATCAATTGATGATTTAAGTTCAATTTCAACTTCTTTTGCTTTAATTAACTTTGCAAATGGAAGTTCAAACTAAAAATAAAGAAAAGAATAATAATATCTTGATATGTTTTTGTTTTTGTATACCTGATCTTTTGAATTTCCATTACGTCTAACATAACGTAGAAATTCTTTACGTACAACTGGTTCAATTAAAATTAAATCAAGTAAACCATTAGCTAGATGACCAAATTTTGATAAACCTTGTGGTGCAAATGACCATAAATTAGCATTTGTTAGTATAGCTACTTGTAAATATTCATTTTGAAGTATTTTCCAATTTTTTTCTTTTTCATTAGGTTGATTCAAATTTTTTCCAGCCGATGATAAACGATTATTATTATGATCATTATTTAAGCATGACGATGATTTTTTTCGTCTATTGATTTGTTGTACATGAAAATTGTCAAAAGTTTTGACTTGATCATCACTTTTTTCTTCTGGTGCTGGAGTGCATGATGGACAACTATAAAATATAGACAAAACAATAAATAAATAAATAGTAAATAAATAATTTATTTTACCCTCGATAGCAACGACTCATCGATCCAGTATCTTGATACACTGGAATATATCTTATTTCCATTTCAATTGGTCTATTGAATAAAACAATAAAAAAAATAATGATCGAAAATAGTCCATTATATATGATTTCAATGTGTGTTGAATGAAAATAACTCCAGACTACGTTCAATTTGAGATTTTTCTATTTGATCAAAGCTATTGCATGTTATGCAATGAAGTCTATGATGTTCTTTTTGTATATTTAAATATGAGTGACCACCTGCTTATACATTAACTATGGGCATATTATGAGCCTTGGATAATATTTCTGATTTCGTACTTACTAGGTCGTGAAAAACATTTGTCGTTGTAGTTCATTCTTATTCTATTTTTTTGTCATTAGTTAGTATATTTATAGGAAGTGACTAACAAGCAAATGAGCGAGCATCTCTAAATCTTATCAAAATAGATTTTAACAAGATTTTAAACCAATATCTGGTTTCGAAGAGATCACATGTTCTTTTCTTGCTTTGTCATACTTTGTAACAAGAAGGTAGTGGCAGAGTTAGAAAAGAAGTGGTTGCCTCTCTCTCTCTCTCTTGAATTTCTCTCGAACAAATAAAGAGCTTTTTCTTTTAACTGTGTGTGACTGTTCTCTACTTCCAGTGCTGTAGGAGAAAAAAATTCAAATAATATGTTACTAACACTATTGCATTTAAACTGATGATAGATTTGTTGTGTTTCTGATTTTAACCTTTCAAGCATTGTAATGAATGCAACTTTTATTTTCCATTGAAAATTTTAATATACTTTTGTAAACAAAAAAACTTACTGTAAATTTTTATTTGAAGCTGCTTTTGCAAATGATTTTTTAATTATAGTTTTTGTACTATGTAAATTATAACGTGGAAAATATTTCAAAACACTAGCTGGATAACCAGCACCAGAACTAAAATTTGCAGTAACAAAATTATAATCAATATCAAATATTGCTGACATATCAATTTTCATTTGTTGATCTAATATTTCAAATAAAAGACAATTCATCAAATGAATTTTATTATCTTACTAAAAAGTAAATGTAACATAGGCGTACAATGATCAGTATTGCCATGTATTGTATTACAAAGAATATTTGTTGTACCTGGAAAAAATATTGATTTAAATAAGAAATTTTATTTTATTTTTATAATTCTACCATCAGGAACAATACATATTGGAAAAGGTATTGATGGTAAATCATGTTCCATATCTAATCTATATTAAACAAAACCTAATGTTAATTATTATATGATGAATTATTTTACCGAGTTCGATTTTCTTTTGTTAAATAACGAATTAATGCATTGATAGCATTAATTACTGATCCATCACCACCAATAATAACTAAACTAATAGAAAAAAAAACAGACTCATCAAAGCAAAACAAAAAAGAACTACGTAAATTTTTTTATACCCATCTATTGAATCAAAATCACCTTCAAAATTCTCTAATGCTTCATCAGCACTACATTGATCATCAATTTCTAAATAAACACACTGAATAATTAAATTAATTATTTTAAAATGTACCTATATATGTTATTTTATGCTGTGCTCTGTCTAACATTGTTTTTACTTTTGTCGAATATGTATGTCTAGCACGTCTTGGACCAGCATATGGATTCAACATAACAAGAATATGACGTGATGGTCTACCTAAAAAATAGAACAATTAAAATTATTCTTATGCTTTCAATTCTACATACGTTCATAAACAATCTTTGATAATAATTGATACCATCGTTCGACTTGATCAGGTTGACTACTTTGAAATATAATAAGCATTTCTTGTAAAATACCATCTTGCATAGTTTGATAAGAATGCAATTGAAAACCACGTAAAACTGAGTCTTGAGTTAAAGTTGACGAGAGTACTGCTGGTGTACTAATAGTATTTAACGTAGATACAGAAGTACCAGACATGTTTTCACCTCCTAATGACCAATTTTGATGAGTATGAAGTGGTGTAACTGCATAAATATTTTGAAGATTAACTGAATTTGCATTATCTTTATTTGCAGATTTTCGTCGACTGGTTTCACTATGTGGAGCTAAAGAAGATATATATATATATACATAAATCAACATTTCAAAACTTATATTCAATCTTAGCATACTTTCGCCTGCTACAGTTGACCAACTTAATGTTTCATTTTCTAATACGATTTCAACAGTAATATTATGAACTGTAAACAAGACTCGTTCACAAAATTTTTCTGAATTAACATCATTAGTATTTTTATCTATAGTTGGATTAGGTAATATTGAATTCGTTTCTTCTAATATTTCTTTATGATTCTGTTTTTCCTGAATATTATTATTATCATCATCATCATCATTTCCAAATGCTAATTTCACTTTAGCTATATAGAACAATGAAATAGAATTTCGAAAACAAAAAAATATAATTCGAAACAAACCTGGAGGTGGTGGTCGACGTCGACGTTCTTTAGCAGACATTGAAGTAGCTTGCACTCTCTACAAATAAACAGAAACAAAAGACAGCAATCGTTTTCTATGCTTTTTTTTTTCATTCTTTCTCATGCAAACAAATCGTTTTCATATGACACATCTCACTATGACGAAAAAAAACATATGAAATACAAAGATTCACTGTTTTAACTTAACCTCATTTAATATGCATATATATATATATGTATATATAGCATTCTAATAGTACTTGTTAGTCTTCAACAATAGAAGCGTTCGATAAAAATGAAAAACTTAAATTGACGATTGATCGAAATAGTAGAACAAAAAAAGAGAAAACGACATATAGAAAGGCAGACAACAGAATGAAGTCGTCATAGGAGGCAACAATACGGTACTTTAATTTGTTCGCTCGTTCTTTCGTTTGTTGATGCATATATATATATGAGTATATGCTAACCGGTGAGCACTACCAAAGCAACAACAGACAAGTTGAAAGAAATAAAAGAGAAAGAGAAAACTGAGAGAGCGAAGTTAAAATTCTTTTAGTGTTGTCGAAGAGAACGTTATTCATGTAATTTTTTTTTTCAAATGAAGAAAGAGAAGGAAAAGGAAAGAAAAGAACAGAATGCATTCAAAAATGTTGCTGTACCGATGATGACTGCACCTATTCAAGGCCACCTATAGTACATCTTAATTGATGGTTAGTGTTTTTTTGTTTTCTTGCTTCATATTTATTAATTCGATAAATCTGATTATTTCTTTTCTTTTATATTTTTTTAATGTACGTTTGTTTTTAAAAATTCATTCTTCAAACTATTTACAACGTTTATTTTCTTAAATTTATTATTTTATACGTTTATATTCACGTAGTTCGACAAGATGAAAACATATCAGTTTGGGTCGAGTATTTGTAACATAGAAAACTGCAATATGTCAGTCTCTTTTGAAAGAATAAACTATAAAATTTTTCCGTTGATTTCTTAGATTGACAGATGTAGTGCCAAATTTGAGCTATAGCACAGTTCAGTCATGATTTCATATTAATTCTTTTTTGAAGTTGCCTTCACGGAAGTTAATTATGCACATTTAAAAAAAGCATTCAAAAGAAAAGAAGTGAAATATATTTTTCTTCAATATGCCAGGTCAGGTAAAAGCTTAATAAAAAAAAATGGTAACGTGTTTTTCTTGCTTAAAATACATTATGTAAATGTAAACAATATTTAATTGCATGCATGCTATTTTGAATATATTCGATGTAATGTATTCATTAGAAATGAAATAGATTGACAAATGAAAAAGTGAGCTGATTATCTTAAAATATAAGAAATCATTTTCATTTGGTCATTAGAGTGATTAAAGAATTCGATTATTCTTTTACCGGAAACATTCATAACAATAGGTGTTTAAATATTCTACATTGATGAATTGAAAGTATAGTGTGCATGAGAATATTTTTTCTGCTCTAAATAGTCTGTCGGGTTAAGTGCAAATGCTATTAAATTCAATATTATATTTAAATACCTCGTTACCATGACTAATTCAATGTTTTTTTTCATGTCGCTGTGTTTATTTATTTATTGATGTCAGAAAAAAAATTTGCATTTTTTGTGAGATCGACTTTTTTTTAATGAAGCCACGTTTAAAACAATGTTCAAAAATCATAACTATACAAAAATATCATAGTTTTCAATAGTATGAATCGCTAATTACAGACATGTGTGTTCTGGTGTACATGCATTTTTACCACACATCAGTTTACATGTTATAAGTAACGAGCAGTTCTATTCAGCTAACTTTTTTTTCATTTTATTCTTTTTCAAGTTTGCTTGTTAATAGAACTAATGCTTATATACAATCAGAAACAGTAGTTCATTTTTAATAAGCAATAAAAAAAAATACTTGGACCATTATATTCTCGGATCTCAATTGACATTATGGAGCAATAAGATAATCCTATACATAGATTGTCAAGTTGATTGATTCGTGTTCGCATGTATGTATTTGACATGTCGTTTGTCTTCCCAAGTGACTTTGGCATTAATCATGGATTTACCTAAGAGTAGTCTGTTGATAAGGTTTTAGTTATAAAAAAAAGTAAATACTTCTATAAAAAAAAAGCAAATACGATACTGATTACTTTCGATCTCGTTTGTCCAATATAAAAGTAAGATAAAATGAATGCATTTAAATTTACACACGATAATGCGCTATTATATCAAGTAATACACCTTTTGTTCGCATTGTTTTTCATCGATTCATTATGGAAAAAAGTACTGGAAAGATACACATATTAAAATAGCTCAGTAAATTATATTTTTGTATTTTAAAATTATGAAGATACATATTATAAACAATGAAACTGATAAAGAAAAATTATATTTGATTTGATACATGGTATAGGACCTCCAAAAATTTTTCATACAGTGGCAAAAAAAGTTTTCTTCTTCACTAATAAATTGTAATGATGAAAACTGTTAATGACATTATTTATTCTCAACGCCAAGTTACCTACTCAGGTCTTAATTTTACGTCAAATGAACTTTTACAAAACTTTTCCTGGATCATAGCCTATTCACACTAGAGTCTTTCGTTTTTATGAGCCTTGAATAAATTTTTATTGAATAAAATGCTAATTTTTTACACGAATCGAGAACACAGGTAAATCGCGTGAGTAAAACTGTGATGTTGAAATGTGACACAAAACATGATTCTTTACGTAGACGAATCCTAATAGTCAAGAGATATGCTCAATTTTCTTAGTCTCGTTAAAAATAATCACCTGGAGAAACGTTTTGCTGAACCAATCTCAAAATAAACACTCTATATTCTAATATAGTACATTGATTTGTAGCAGAAAAATATGAAATTTTGAATACTGATTACCGTTTTGTTGATCTATATAAGATTGAACTAATTTTTTTGAATGCTGAATGATTCACACGAACTCCGGTGAAAAAGGTAAATATTGAACAGTAAGTTGCCGTAAGGATATGTCATGCTGTACTCGTATCTAGTGTAAAGAAGGTTGATTGATTTTTCTTTGCCAGTTGAGCCCGCTTGAGAAAAATTGTTTCAATCTTATACAGGATTGGTTCAGCACAACTTTTCACCAGGTGATAATTTTTAAAGAGACTGAGAAAATTGAGCATGTCTCTTGATTATTGTGACTTATTAATCAAAAAATCGTGTTTTGTGACGCATTTCAACATTTCAGTTGTTACTCACATAGTTTACATATGTTCTTGGTTCTTGTAAAAAAAAATAGCATATTTCTCAATAAAAGTCTATCCAAAGCTCAGAAAAACGGAAGATTCTAGTCTGAATAGTCTATGATCCAATAAAAGCTTTGTAAAAGTTCATTTGACGCCAAATTAAGGCCTGGGTGAGTACCTTGCCGTTGAGAACAAATAATGTCATCAATAGTTTTCATCATTACAATTTTTCAATGACGAATAAAATATTTTTTTCTAACTGTATGACAGCTGTTATAACTGAAATTTTCATAAGCTATTTTCCTATTTATTATAAAACAACTTAAAAATTATATCATAAGTTGAACGTATCAGCATGTAGACTAGAACTGATGAATTACACACTGATGTGACTTCGAGATCTTGTATTGAAATCATAATGTTAAAAAATTTTAAAAATACAGTAAATATATGTTTTATCGTCAATTCTTGGTCGTATAGTTCTGTTTTGTTTCATTGAAAAACCTCACAGAGTAATACTTTTTCTTTTTGATAGCAATGAACTTGTTCAAGCGGATATGATTATCAATTTAATCTGTTACTAGGAATCAAATTAATTAATCATTTGCAGACTTTGTCTGTCTGTGAAGAATTGCATATTTCTTTTCGTTTTCCTTTTCTTAGATATATTATTATATTATGATGAAAAGCCGTATTCATAACAACAAACGACAAGCGACCAATCAAAATTAATAATTTGCTGACTATAACGAGGGAACATCATCAGCTGTTTCCTTCCAATTGCAATGATTTTTTTCTTCTAGATATTACAGAGTGTTCCAATGCAAATGCTAAAAGAATTTGGATTTCTATTGATACTTGACTAAGCTATCGAATTTTTAATGTGTCTATTTTCTGATCACTCCTGCATGATTCGAGATGTTCGGAAACACATGTATTTTAGAATTTTTGGATCTGAAACTTTGATGATAACGAGAACTCGACTAAACTGGGTTCTGTAAAAAATTTAGAAGTTTTGAATAAAGCCTCTCACAAATATGAAACTTTCAAAAAATACATCTTTGTATAGATTATTCACGGAAAAATGGTCTATATCTTGAAAATTTCATACTTCGAACAGACTTTGTTCAAAGCTTCTGGTTTCCTTTATGGAGTCTAGTCTAGTTGAGTTTTCTTCATCAGGAAAGTTTCAAATCAAAATTTGAAAATACAAATTTTCCAAAATCCTGAGAGCCTACAGGAGCTTCTAGACAATAGACATATCAAAAATTCCATAGCTTAGTCAAATATCAATAGGAATACAAATCCTTTCAGAGTTTTTATTAGAACCCTATGCTGTATCTATAGACAAAAACAAATCATTTAACTCGGAAGGAAACACCTAAAGAAGTTTTCTCGTAAGGGATCGGGTCACTTTTATCAGGCAATAGCATGATCATGCTATGCTCGAACTGTGACGATATAGACTTTCAATGACTATGGCTGACTCGATATCTTCTCCAAGGAGTCATTTATATAAATAAAAAAGAAGCTATCATACGAAATGACTCAACATGACTGAATGACTAATTGTAAATGGTTACTATTTTTCCGAATTCGAAATGTGAGATGATTAGATCGCACACTGATTGTTTTTTCTTTTTTGATAAACTTTTTAAATAAATATAAGAACGAAAACCAACATCTTAGATAATATGTTGAAATGAAACGGAAATCTTTGGAAAAAAAAAGATATTATGAAGTATGTCTGACAAGATTCAACTGCTAAGACACGACAACAAAAAATTTGAATATCCAGCGATTTCAATATTTCCAATACGAATAAATGAAATGAAGCTGTTAAAATAAAATTTTTGGATAGAGTAAAAATCTGATAAAAAATTGGTCTATCTTTATTCAAGCAATGATAGTCACATCTGAAGAAAATGCATATCAAATAAAATAAAAATCTTAATTAAATAAAAAAAGTCAAAGTAACCAATTTGTGGTAGTAGATTGCCATTATATGACATTTTCTTGAATAAAAATATAATGAATTCACTAAAAGCCAAATTGAAACATTACCAAACGATACAATTTCAATTTCGAACATGCGTATATATTGTCATCTTATTTATTTATGAATCAACAAAAATTTTGAACCTATCTCATTTAATATTTTGTTCTTGGCGTCGTTTTCTTTCTTCCGAGATAAGATGTTGCTGTATGTGTACAGGCAAAGCAATATTCAGATTGAAAATAAAAGGAAGCATTGATCGAGGTATTCCTTCAAAATCAATCAAAGCTTTTATAAATAGTGTATCATTTACAACGTATAAATTTTCATTTGCAGATTTATTAAATTCGGCTAGAGAAAAAAATTTTGGAATGCCTGATGCAATATTCATTGCTGAACATGGTCGTTTAAAACTTATACTAGTAGTATCAGGTCGAAAGCTATCAATAATATGTTTAGGTTGTGTTGTTCCATTTGTTTCAATCATGGTTCGCTGGTCAAAAAGGCAAAACGATACGCGATAAGAAAATGGCCAATTCAACAATGCATCATAGAGACCACGAAGAATTACTAGGAAAATTGATATATGAGAACCTCGTGCTGAACCATCACCATTAAGATAAAGCCGAACGCATAGTTTATATCCGTTATCTGATGTGTAGAAAGCAGGAGAGTAAATACTTGTTTGTCTTTCGGATTGAGCATCATATATCTTTTCACGAACATTAAATATTTTCCAAACTATCGTACCATCGGGTCCATCTTTTCTTATTTGACTTTCATCTTCAACTTGTTGTTTGAGCATTGTGATATCTTGTCTCAAAACATTTTGATTAAGTGATATTGTATCAAGATAACTTTTTTCTAATGAATTTGTTCTCTGCTTATTATTCAATTCTTCAAAAAGAGTTGAATTTTGATGATGACATCGAAACATCTGGGAATCTGTTTGAACAAGCTGATCATGAATTGTTTCTGTATCTCTTGTTATTATTGATAGTTTTTTGTAATTCTCTACTAATGAAGTTTCTCCTTCTTCCATATCTGTATCGGCTTCGGTAGAAACACCAGTCATACTTTTCACAATCGACTGGGCACATCTCACGAGACTTTTTTGATGCTGTTCTGAAGTATAATGTTCTTGCAATGAAATCTCATTGAGCTATAAATACACAAAAAAACAGTTCAATGTCATGGAATTGTTCTTTAAAACTACCTGGACGTCTCTACAATCATAAACAGCCAATGGACATGTTCTTCTGTTAGATGTATCAGACATGCTATGAATGTTGTCACATGTATTCAAGGCTTTATCCATTAGATCTGAAATAACGTACTACAAATATTAAGTTTCAGAAAATAAGAATATAATTTTTGTTTTTGAAAGAATAGTGATGTAATGTTTTTCTCTAGTTGTGCAATGCTTAAGTAAATATTGAGTTTTCTCATAACATTTTACAAGTGTAATTAGTAGTTGAAATTATTCGTTATAATAATTAAAAAAGAACATTGAAAAAAAATATAATTTGGAATTGTGCTAAATCCTTTTTATTATATTCATTTTCCATAGAAAAAATTTTCATGAAAAATGAAACTTGCTGAAAATTAATCTTTTATGAGAATAAGTTTTCAATCATGGAGTTCACCGATTGTAATATCGCTACATCAATTCACAACCGAAAACGGGTCTGAATCAAACCTGATCGGTTCTTTATATAGCATTTTATTTGAATTAACTAGTTCATTACCAAATCAATTAGTTATCATCTCATGTGGATGTGAATGTAAATATTGGCGGAGATGAAGCGAAAATCCACGCTCACATTTCACACCCATTTCAACCGACACTTTCAGGATATGATAAGTGCCATCATTTCTGTTATCAAGGAAACTTTCAAACGGAAGCTCATTATTGCAGTTTATTTTCTTAATTTCCTGTAAAATGTTGAAAATTCAGCGAAAGGACTATGAAGAAAGGCCTAAGGATACGAACTCTGTTAGAATTTTCATCTAAACTATGGGTCCTACTTATGAGCAAAATATAAGCTCAAACAAAGGGTATTAGTTGAAGAGATTTTCTCTTAAGACTATACACACAAGACTTTTAAGAAAAGCCAAGTAGGATGACTCTTTTGCAACAGGAACGATTCGTCGCATGACTTCTTAGTCCTAAAATATTCTGAAGGAGTACTGAAAGTTCGCGAATGAAGATGGATGTGTGTATATGGCTGTAGGTATCATTAGGGTAAACAAAAGATCTTCAGTCCAATCGACGTTCACAACCACATCCATACACCTGCAACGAATTCTTCCGATCATCATTGCATATACCCTTACGATTTTTTTTATCAACGGTCTACAGAAGTATCACAAAGCTAATGTAGAATAGTAAATGTATGTGAAAAAGTAGTATACTGCCATTTGGTTCAGACGAGAAATATGACGTGAATAACTTGTCCAAGATGAGGCACAGATAAATAGCGCTAAATTTGAACATAGAATTTTTGAAAAAATAAACAAATCTTATAGTCTAATTTCTTAATTATGAATGCTTCATATTTAAAATACTTCTCCAACGAAAAAAAGTTAATGAATCTCAAAAGAACTGAGAAAGATTAACGTCTTGGATTTCGTTTCATTCTCTCTAAGTGCTTTGTCAAATGTAAATGGCTTCATAGTTGATTGTCATAATGTCCGTTGCACTTGATTACCATTGACGCATTCTTCATTCTGTTGACCAGTAGATAGTCCGACATGTTTTCTGTTGTGTACCTGATTGAATATTTATCTGTTTCCAAGAAGACGAATGATGTACCAAACTATTTTATCAGTCTAAGCATGCAAATTCTGTCAAGAAATATCTTCCATCTTGATTGTATCTTTCTTCATGAAATGTTCCAAATCTACTGTAACTACCATCACTATTTTTTTCCCTTTTCTCATTCTATTCAGCTGTGGTAAGTAGTTTTTTTCTTAATATTCTTATTGTTCATAACATCACTCATCAAATAATGCCACGCTCTTAGTGTTATACGTTTGTATCGTATTCGTAGATATTATCAAACAATATAGTAACAATTTAACTTCTTTGTTATTTTTCTGGCCCGTATAATGCTAATGAAAACGTATAACAACATACTTTTAAACATGAGTAAGACTTGCGTAACTTATTATACTTGTGGACTAGTATTGATACAATATGCTTTTAATCATATGGCTAGAAAAAGATAACATGATTCATCAAAAGAATGTTTCATTTTTTTCCGCCAATAATAACTTTACAGCTGTAAACATTCCAAAAAAATATCTGATAGAATCGTTTGATGTAGAATATACATATTTCACCATATTGAAGATGTTTACATTGAATAGTTTTATTTCTAATACGAATTAAATACATTATACCATCTGCCGACATTGTTACGCATGGCAACCATACGTCAAAAGTAATATCTTGAAGTTTTTGCATGTATAACAATTCATAACACTCGTTTCGCGTATTATACAACGTCTTCTGTCGAAATGCTTTTGATTCCCACAAAAATTCTTTTTACAATTAATCATGAAAATAAAAACCCAGCTTAGAATATTTCATCAAAATAGTATGTTTATTTACGCTGTTTATAAAAAGAAAAAAATACAAAACAAAAACGCATATTAATTAACTATTTGTTTGGCGATATACTTTTACCTACTTTTCGAATATGTCTTCCTACAACATTGAAATTTGGAAAAAATAAGTTTTGTTTATCATCAACAATAATTGATAAGGCCATATCTTTAGCCATGAGATGTTTATATGAATTGTCAAGAACAGATATTTAATATTTACAGGAATGCATTGTGTGTGAGACAGTAGTGAATGCTTTATTTGACAAGAAAGCAGTTGTTTATTTTTTCTTTCCTAGGAAGAATAAGAAAGAAAAAAAGAAATTTTCATTTCATAAGCCAGCATGAAAGAAGTTTTTTTAACATGCAAATAAAAACTAATCAGTAATTGAGTATTTGACTAATCATATCGCAAGTAAATCAAAGAAAGAGGACGTATAGAATGGAATAACATACCAGAAATGAATCATTGCGTGCATTTGCTTCTGTCTTTCTAGTTCTTCATGAATTCACATAACCAATAAAATTTTTATTCATCTTATCAGCTATTTTTTATCCAAGTTTCCAACTACTCAACAATATCCGATTGTTATGCAACGTAATATGATGCTTTGATTAATAACCGACTACATAACATGTGAAAAATCATCTTTAAATAATGTTTTCAGTAAATATACAAGCCATTGAACTCATAATTTCAGCAAAACCAATATTTATCAAACTAGATGCAATCTTTGATAAGAACTTATTATATAGAGACATGTAAAATTTATGTATTACTCAAAAGATTTACCTTCCGAAAAAGTGAACATATTATATGTTGCTCCTATAAAATCAATGAAGAAAAACAAAAATAACATAATTAAATGAAAACAAAAAGATCGCCGTTTTTAACTAAAAATGTGTCACCAAGAGAGATAATTATCTCTCTTAGGGGCTTACTCAATTAAGTAGCCCAACAGTGCGTGCAGCAAAGAAATTTTATGAAATAAATTATATAGACTGCTGCTGCAACTGTGACTCGACGTCGTGTGAGAGACCGACCTGACATTGTGTCTATGTCTGTCGTCGCACGAGCATATCATTCACATGTAAGCAGCCTAGAACAAGGCAGATAAATAAATAAATAAATAATATATATATATATATGTATATATATAATATCAATGTTCTCTTCCATATTTTTTATCAACATACACATAGACATAATGAAACAAAACACTTAAGTGACAGAAAAAAACCATAGTTAATCCAATCAGAGAATGAGAAGAAACATTGATTGCAACAAAAGAAAGAGAATGAAACCAAAAATTGATAAATGTTCATCTTTGTATATAGGGACAGAACAACAAAACAAGAATAAGCAAAATATCCACGTACATTGTTTTTCTTTTAAGATCAAAAACGTGGACCATTGAATCCCATCGGTGGAAAACCTGCTGGTGGAGCCATAAACGGTAGACCACCCATTGGGGCTAAAACAATAAACATTTTAGAATACATTACCAAAACGAAAACTAACTAATAAAAACATACGTCGTACGAAATTAGCCATTGAAAGACCAGCAGGCATTGGTGGCATTTGCATTTGTTGTGGCATCATCATTTGTTTATATTTTGGTAATGAAGCACGAAATTCTTCCTACAAAAAATATCAAGAGATAAACGTTTTAACTTATTTTAAATATCAATATTTACTAATGATATGTCATCATCTGGATGAATAATTTTTGCAGTACCAGCAACAGGTTCAATTTTTCCTTTATTGCCCGGTAATGATCCAGATGTAGTAGCTGTTAAACTCGATATAGCTGCTGCAGCTGATGCCATTGTTGTTAAATTAGGCGATGAATTAGTATCATTATTTGTCTAAATTTAATAAAATAATAAAAATAAAATAAACCCTAATTATTGAATTAAACAGACATCAGTTGCTCCACTTGGAAATAATGGTTTAGCAGGAGCAGATGGAAGAAGAGTTGATGTTGGATTACCAGGTGTTGGTGGAATCATAGGCACTGGTGGTCGTAATGATGTCATCATTGGTACTGGAGGCATCATAGGTAATGACATAGGTGTAATGCCAAATGGCATACCAGGAAAAGCCATTGGCATCATTGGTGCAGTAGGCATCATACCCAATGGTGGCATTGGTGGCATACCAAGTGGTGGAGGCACTTTTATAGCATCATTATTATCTGGCTCATCTTTATCTTTTCCAGCAAGTCGTTTTTCATGTGCACGAAGATCTTCTTCTGGTATACCTTCCATACCATAAATTTCAATTTCAATATTATCTCGACCTTTGATTGCATTCGGTACTTTATCAATATTTTCTTTATGTACCTAAACATAGATTATATGTATTAGAACAAAAGAAAAAAAAGAAGAAGAAATATATATTATTTTCATACTTGTATTGAATGAATTTGTAAACCGGGTCCGGTATATAATTTTTTATGACATAAATGACATTTAAAATGTTTTGCTTTTTGATGTTGTAATAGGATTTTTTCATCATCAAATTCACGATTACAATACCAACACCAAGGTTTTGTTTGTTTCTTTTTCTTTCGACCCATAATTAGAATTGATATAGATAGAAATATATAAAAAAAAAGACTAAAATTAAAATATGTTTCTATCAATATATTATTTTATTTCACTAAAATAATCAAATATACTTTAATGTTTTTTTCTATCTAAAGAATAAATACAAAAAAAAGAAGCAAACGACAATAATGATTATATATTTCACAAAACACGAAAAATTTTTATGATGTTCCTATAATACGATCTAATGGATCTTTAAGTCGTTGAAGATCATGTTCAACCATCATTATTTCATTTTTCAATGCATTATAACGTGGTAAATCAAAATTTTTCTTTTGCAATAAACGATGTAAAATTTTTAAATAAAAATAATCAGACATATTCATATATTTCATATCATTTCGACGAAGTATATAATAACAATAGCCCATAAATACAGCTGAATATGAAATAAAGTAAGTAAAAGGTTCCATTATATCCCAACTAAAGTATAGAAATATTCATAGAATATAATTTTTTCTTTTGTCATAAACATCAATATACCTATAATCAATCCATACTAAACGAAATAAAATACCGGTTTGAAATGACATTGCAGCAAAAATCGACCATTGAATCCTAATATAAAAAATAAAATCTTTTGAAAATTTTAGATATAAAGATTTTTAACTAGAATAATATATTCTAATACGGCAAATATAATAGACACCTAGTGAAAATTTTTGAGAATATCTTTTATTTTTACATATTTGATTTTCTCAAGCATATTATAGAGACAAATTAACTAAGCACGATAAAGACTAGAGATATGCAGAATCAAGTTCTTTTTACCTCGAACTCGATAACTTTCTTTATTAACTAGTTCCGATCATAGTACCAGTAAATTTAGTTGTAGTTCTGGTACCGGCAACTTCTTTTCTATTGGTCTCTGTCTAGAGAAAACTATTCGAGAATTTATTTCTATAACATTTTAAACAATTCTTTGATACTCGTTTGTTTGATTTATTTAGTTGACGACTAACATTTTTTTTTGGATCAACTCTCTTGAATAATGCCCTCATTCATATGACTTAGAAGATAATTTGCTTAAATTCATAGAATATTTTACTATAAGCTTGAGGTTCGGTCTCGGCAAATTTTTTTCTCGTAGTTCCGGTCCTGGTTCCGCACATCTCTAATTAGGACATTCTTTTTTCACATGTATTTATTTGTAACACAACATCAGACTTCATAAAGTTATACTCGTTTCTGTCAATTCTCGTTTTTATTGCTAACGAAAGGTCTTATTCTCGTTTACTTCGACAGATCATTATTAGGACATGCTAAAACAGTGCTATTTAATATAATGCGTCATAATGCCTATAGATAAAGAAAGAATAGCAGATATATTAATCGTTGACCTCATACTAATCACTCTGATGACCATTTCTAGATCGAATACAAAAACAAAAATTAAGCGATGCATAGAATTCCAAAGTTTAAAAAAAATGTTTTGTAATAAACTTCATGACCTATCAAATGGTTAAAAACAAGATTTCGTTACATCGTTCCGTCTCAGATATCTCAGGCTTACAAAATAGAGTTAGTATATGTATTTCAAATATCAATATGTGAAAAATTCAAATAATATTTACTATGGATAAAATGTCTTCAGTGATTATATAATGTCTCAAAGGCAAATAAATCTTTATTTAACAATCGAACTTAAAAATCCATGTATTGTCTCAAAATTAGTTTTTATATATTCATTCCTTTCGTTTTCTATAACTTTAGTATCATGGAATATAAAATCATTCTCTCCAGTCAATAATGTTATGAAAGAAAAAAAAACAGAGTTGTTCATATCGTTTAATCTGTCTTGTCTACGACATGATCACTGATGTAATCAAAATCATCATATACCATATTATTAGCATATTACAGAAGCTAGTACTCTATTTAAAAGATTATTTAATCAGTAACTGTTCTTGAGCTGTTGTGGGAAGTATAGAATTACTTCCTATTATTCATCTACGAATAGTAATACTTATTTAGTCTATTTATATTCTAAGAAGTCGAAACTTTAACATGTATTATGCATAGAATTACTAACCATTTTAAACGTCGAATAGCTTTAGTAGCAAGTTGATGATGAATTTCATTCAGTGGTTGAACAGATTCACGTAAAAATTCTAATTGTTTTTCTAATTCATGTTCACGATACATAACATATTGATTGAGACGTAAATCATGATAAAGTTTCGTAACAGAATTTGATACATCAGAAAGCATATCTCGAGCTGATTTATTTGAAGCAAATAATGTTGGTGGTTGAACATTATACGATGTTTCATTAAGACGTAATGTAAATGGCTCTTCAAATAATAATTCAAAAGGTGAATTTCGTGAAAGACGAGATCCATCGGAAAGATATACAGATGCTCGATCAATACCCCGATCTTCTTTTTGTAATATATCAATAAAATCACCAACTGTTGTATTAAACGGTTTCAACTAATAAAAAAAAGACGACATATTAACAAAATTCTATACAAATAAAATTTTCTTTTTGTTACTTGAAAAACACATGATTCTCCTCTACTTGGTAATGGTACTGTTATACTTGCAAGACCATCTTTAAATTCAATTTGTACTGATGATGTTGCTACAAGACGAATAAATTTAAAATATATTGAAGGATTATATCTAGTTAAAAGAATTCGTTGAAATAACATTTTTGTTTGTCTATAAATTACATCTAAAATATAAAACTAATAAAAAACAAATCAAACAAAAAAAAAGGATTCATTTTAAACATCACATTAAAAAGATCATTTATTAACTGACAGGACAATCACTATCACCCTCTTTTTTCATATTTAATTTTTTTAATTCATCATGTACTTGTTTTTCTAAGTCAAGAATAGCTTTTGGTTTTTTATACTAAAAGAAAAACAAAATTATTGAATTGGAAAAAAAGAATTTTATTCTTACACTTATAATTAATGTATTATTTGCATGAGAATATGATAAATTAGTTTCTTCTAATGGAAGATTTAATCGATCAAGATCAGCAATTGAAAAACGTTTAAAATATCTTAAGAAAACAAAAAATCGATTTTCCTTGCTAAGGCAATTTGTTTTTTTTATTTACTTTTTATTTGTTGTTCTTAAAACAAATTCTCGTTTATCTTTATCAATTGTTAATTGATATGTATCAATTGGATACGGTAAATTTCTTATACGAATTTCAAAACAATCATTTTTATCACTACGTGAAAATATTGGCTAATCAAGTAAAAATAAATCTTTTTTTTTTTCAATATTTTATTTAATAGCAAAATCAATACATACTGTTGTAGTGCTTTCTGTCATACCAAGTGTATTATCTGCTATTGGTCGTGCTTCATAACTTTGACCGATTTCAAATGTCCATAGATCTGATGCAGCTGCAGTTTTTAAACCACTACTTGATTTTTGACGCCATTTTCGAACTATTTTTTTTTTCAAAGAAAAATATTATTTATAGTAATTTATTGATCATACTTAAAAGTAAATTAGTTTTTGCATCATATTCTTCCACCATTTCTGTTTGATCATCGAATGTATAATGAATTTTTTTTCGATCTTAAAATATTTTTCTAGAGATTTTTATAAAGATGAGAAATAGAAATGAATAATACCATTTTGAAGAAGACCAGCTTTTTTTAGCTGATTTTAATTTTTCAATCCAGACTGATTTTATTGTTTCTGTCATTTGTCTTATATGATGGAAACAATCAGCGCTTGACGACTTGTTTGTGATATATTTGCGAAATGTAACAATTAAACTATCCGTAGAATATCTTTTTAAGTTCACATGCAATGAAATTCTTGGTTTGAATTTTGTTGGAAAATTTTAAATTGGATTTAAAGATAATTAGAAACAAAATGATCGACAAGTTTTAGAATTTTTTTAATTACCAAAACTTTTTAATAGATGTCGCTAGTATTCATAAACGATATAAAGAAAAGTTTGAAAACGATTTTATTAATCTACTGCAGATTGAAGATTAATTTTCTTTTGACAAAGTGAACGGGCATAGCCAGAAAAGGATGTACTGGAGAAGTTATTCGTTCCTATGATGCTTCTAAAGACGATGAAAATTCTCTAGTAATGCTTACAAAAGGGGCTCAAGCTTCTTTTTAAGCAAAGCTCAAATGTATGTACAGTGGAGAGAACTGAATCGTCTCTAGTTCACCGTTTAGCTATGCCACTATTAAAAAATGTTAAGTTTGAATACAAGAAATAATATCTAAATTCCATATATAAGTGTGCATGTTGGATGATTGAACAAGAAAAACTATATTATGGTGTACTTTTCACATTTTACTAGAAAATCAACAATTTAATACTATGAGGAAGCAATTTTATGAAGGAACTTAGTTCAATCATAATCTTATCATTTGTTATGCTCTTGCTTTTTGTGCATAAAAACATAACGTAGAAACTCAATCGTATATGTTGTATGTAGCTGAATGTTTCGTTCGTTATTTGCAATATAAAATCATCTTTGTTTCACAAATAGTAAAAGATTGAACAACATATTTGACGAATATCGTTCATTGAAAACCATATCTCTTCAAATAACTTTTCACGTTCAAAGTTCGATGATTTACCATTCTTAGAATCTTTCCTTAATCGAACAATTTTTTTTTTCTTTAAATGAGAGCTAAGAATAGATTGTATGAATAACTAATAGACAAAAATGTCTATAGAATTTCTTCTTTGAAATAAAAGAACTCTTTTAAGAGTGGCATATATGATAGACTCAAACATCGACGATGGAGTAATATCTCCGAATGTGATGAATTTTGTACTCTCAAAAATTTTCACCTTGATCTGATCACTTTTTTCAAGATCATTATTCAAAACACTGATGAAATTTTTAATTATTTTCTTTTTTTTGTGAATTTTCTTCGACAAAATGACTTTTGTCTTTCGAAATGAGAAAGTTTTGACTTTCTGCTCTTTTAATCATAATTATTAGTGACTTCTACTACTATGTACGAAAATTCAGAAATATTCCGTATTTAAATATGAAATATATTAATAACCCAATCAGAGCCTTATGTTACTCTTTTTGGCATTCTCTTAGCAAAATGTCAGTCGAGCGCATTTTATGCGACAACAACATAATGTTTTGATACTTTTATCAGTGATATACCGGAAGAAGTTATATCGTCTGATATATTTAGCAATTTTATATGGTACAGAAAATAAATTAGTTTTTATGAAAATTCATCTTTTTCCTATTATGCATAAGATAGCTTTCAAGGTGCTGACGTATTTTTCATAAATTAGACTTTTTTGATGTGCTTTCAATTTTCTTGTGTGGCTACGTTATTGTTATGGTTGATATAATTAGTATAAAGTTATTTAACTAGACCTTCGACATTTGTCGTGTTCGTAAAACAGGATAATATGTATGTTTAGAGACAATAAATCTAGTATTCGGAATCGGCATGCAAAACTGCGGCAAAAAATAATTTTTTTCATTTTGAAATATTTCAAATGAAAATTTTACTCTATGATCTCTTACAAGCAATATTTCAATCGGAGATATTCTACGATGAAAAATATGTTGCCTGGTTAAGTCAAACATTCCTAAAAACGAAAGATAAAAGTTATTTTTTCGAAGAAAATTCATAAAAAACGGTTAAAAAAATCAGAAAATAATTATCATTAGTAATTTCATCAGTATTTCGAATAATGATCTTGAAAAACATGATCAGATCAAGGTAGAAATTTCCGAGATTACAAAACTTATCATCATTTACATCATATAAAAAAGTTATTACTTTTTGAGATATTACTTCATTATCAAAGTCTGAATCTCTCAGACATTCACTCTTAAAAATAAGTCATTAATGGTAATATTAAAGATTGATTTACTTTTTGATAAGAAAAATGTAAATATCTTGAATATAAGTCCGAAGAAAATAAATATATATGATTTGCCCGCTCTTTACTATCTTATTCATCAAATAAAATTCTATTATCTTCATCATTCATTTTCACTTAAAGCACAGAACTTTTACTATGTTTAATTATCATCATAGAACGATTAATTCAATAATAATCTTTATTATCATAATATTTCAAGTATCATTCTGTTCACTTAGAAATGCTAATGAACATTTTTTTCTCGAACATAATCGCGCTATTGGTGGAGAATCTTTAGATACATCGAAAGTTGTTCTATATATCGATGCGAATGCTTCTAGATTCATTGAAATACCTAGAGCATATATGAAAAATTGGATAAACGATCAAAAAATGTGGCGAACAGTAACAATTAGCATTTAACATTAATTTTTATAATTAATATCGTTGTTTTTTTTTGTTTGTTTCTAGTGGTCAATTATATTAGCTGTAATGTGTTTTATCTTCTTTGGTACTTTATTGTTTTTTCTTATTCATGGTTTTATTACTTCAACGGGCCCATTTGTTAGTTGTACAAAACGTCTCAATGAAAATTCATCACATATTAAAATGACATCATCAACAACAGCTATATCTATAGATTATCCACAAATAGAAAATATACCAACAACCCAACAAACATTTATTGTTGGCTCTCGTCAAATGTCTACATTATAAAATAGTAGACAATTAAAATTTGAAAAAGAAAAAGATCTCTTTTTTAATTAATGAATTCATTTTCTAAAGGATACAGATAAAATTGAAATCAAGAAAAAATTATCATGCTAAAAGACTTCGATATTTTTGAAGTCTATTTTAATTTATTTTATTAGCATATAATTTTAAAATTTCTTTGCTACTTCTGCCATTTTACCAAGAACAATATGAGCATGTTTTTCAGTAAAAATTAATGCTGGACGAAAACGTATAGCAACATCACCACATGCTCCCATTTGAATACCTATGATTAAAAAAACAATATTTCAATCAATTATTTCATTTTAATTTTTTTTTATTTGTTTTTTGTTGTTGACATACCAGCATTTCTCATTTGAACAAGATATTTATCTCGAACAGATGCATTTGGCATATCAAATGCACAAAATGTTCCACGACCACGTGCATTAAGAATTAATTGTGAATATTTTTTATTTAACTCCTTTAAACCATTTAATAGAACATCACCAGTTTTTTTTGTATTTTCAATCAAATTTTCTTGCTTAACAGTTTTTAATATAGCATCAAGTACTAATAATTTTGCTGGTTCACCCATCCATGTATTAAATATGCGATAAGGCTATTTAGAAAAAAATTATTTTTTTGTCATTTAAAATCATATCAAACTCAACCTGTTTTGGTTGATATTCAGCTTTAGCAAAATAGCCACCTGTTTGAAATTTTTTTGAAAATGTAACTAGATCAGGTGATTCAGGTAAATTGAAATGTTCATATGCCCAGAATTTTCCTGTTGCACCAAGACCTGTTTGTACTTCATCAATAAGTAATGCTGCATCATTCTATAAGAAAAAGAAAGATTATTATTTATATATATAAAGAACTTTTTTTTGCATTAATTCGAACCTGTTTAGTAAGTTTTTGAAGGCGTTGAAAAAATGTAGGACTTCCATGAAAATCACCACCTTCACTTTGAATCGGTTCAACTACAACACCAACTGCGGGATTTTGTTTTTTCTTGTATTCATGAAATAATTCTTCGATCTATATAAAAGAAAAAGCTTTTAGCAAAATCACTGTGAAATTCATATATAAAACAAAGCACAACTGTTTTTATGTAACGTGATGAAAAAGGAAAATGTTAATTGATACGTGTAGAGATGGAACGCATCGTTAATGGATCTATTCTCTTGTGATTAGACAAAAGAGTAGTTGACGAAGTTCACTTAGTTGCCATAAAGTGGCCTGTGAGACGAATAGTACGACCTTTTGGGGAGGCATCAATCCAAACAGAAAAAAAATTAGATCTTTGTTAGTTAATCATCAGTTTTAGTATAAGTGTACGCGTGATGAGAGCAACAGTTAGCAATATCCTATATCGTTTCTTGTTGAAAATACGTATTTATTCAAGGATTACATTTATTTTCATTCATATATCCATTTTCATCTGTTTTTTATTTTTTGAATGTATTTTTTAAATCTTCATTCAGTATCATTTTTTGTTAACATCATTATGATAATGGGAATCAGAGATAAAACCAGTACTGGTTATCGGTGTTTCTGGAATCCAAACCAAACGATCTGATCTATTCAGACCAGGATCAGAGTAGAGGATCAAAATCTCAGACGGATTTCATCTCTGCTTGGAATCGCTTTGTACGAAAAATATAGGTTTAGTACAGTTCAACTCTTTTACCAGACTCGGCTACACTCAAACGAGTCTTTCTATCATCTTGCTACTATTTCAAATGATTAAAAAAAATGCTTACACGAGCTAAACATCTTTCATCTTCTTTTTGATTTTCTCGTTGATTTTCTTCTAATGGATATTTATATCTTGGAAAAGGTGCAATGGGCCAATCAAAACTTGGAATATCAAGTTTATGAATAGGTTTGGAATGTGTACATGCCAATGCACCTAAAGAAATAAAAATAAGAAAAAAGAAAGAATTTCTAATTTTTCTTTTCTTCTTTTATGTTTTTAATTACCAAATGTTCGACCATGAAAAGCTCCTTCGAATGACATTAACGAAACAGTTGGACATCCTGGTGCTTTATTATACATTGATGATTTTAATTCTTCTTCAGTGAATGGTTTTCCATCACGATTCTTATTTGCATGCCAAATACAAATTGCTTTGAATGCATTTTCATTTGAACATGAACCACACATCATTGGTTGAACATATTCAAGACCTTTAGGTGCAATCTATACATAAAGAGATTTATATTTAAAATCAAAAAGAAAAAGAATAGATATTAAGATTACTGGAAGAAGTGTTTGCTCAATTTGTTTTATAAATTGAGGTGTTGGATGAACTCCGAGTGCTGGTCGATTGACAAGTTGACTCTAGAATGAAATAAATCATTTGATTTTTTTTTTTTGTAATTTGTTAAACAAACTAGATTTTTTGAATCTTGAAAAACTTTTTGAATAGCTGGATGATTGTAACCTAGAAGAATATTATTTTAAAAGAAATTTTTGTTTTTGTTATAACAGTATATCAATGTAGTCTACCTAAAGGAAGAGAAGCAATTTGCTCATAAACATCCAACATAATGTTGCCATCCATATCAACTGCATAATTTCCAATAGATTTTTCAACATCAAGAACAAATATTGTACTCAATGCATTCTAAATTTATATAAAATTATTAATAAAAAATTGACATCAATTATTTACTTGAGTTTTTTCTAATTCATGCATAAACTGTTTTGATTGTGGACCCTAAAAAATCAAAGAATAAAATCAATTTTACTGAAGAAAAGTTTCTCTCATACAGGAATTTCTGTTTTCATTTTCGGACCAGATGGTTCTTGTGCGAGAATACTGTTGCCTAAATTTGATCAACATTTTTTTATTGCTATACATATATATTAACAATTAACAAACCTCGACATTGTGAACGAGTCTGAAGCAAGCAACGAAGATGAAGAAGACGTGAAGCTTTCATATCTAAATACAATAATACGAGAGTAAATGGAAATCCTAGTGACATCAACAAAATAAAACGGCATTTATTTTATTTTAGTGGTATCTCAAGTAGACTATGCGATCACGCGCAATAAAAAAAGAGAACAGTGCATTAATGCTGTACCCTCGTTTGTCGATTTTTGTTCTATTTATTTATTCCTTTTTCAATTCTTTTTTCTTCGTCGTCGCTCTCTTATCTTATCATTTTTTTTTTGGTTAGAGAGTCATTTTGCTTCTCTAAAACAGATGTATGATATTTTAGCACACAATTTATTTGAATAAGCAATTAGTACAGAAGAAAAACAAAAATCAAAATCGAAATTGATATAAAGACAAGGCAAGGTGTTAAGTATCAACATATCATCACTAGCGTCATCTTTTTAAATGCATTTGATTTGTTATTTGACTTAACAAATAAATTAAAAAAACTTGAAACTAAGTTAGTTAATTTTCAGTTTTGTTTAACAAATGATGGAGCCAAAAAATTTGTAAGTTCTTTGTCTTTCAACATATTTAAAAATTCTTGTTTTGATATTTTATCATCATTATTTAAATCTAAAATAGTCATGATTTCATATGTAAAATAAGTAACACTATGTTTTTCTTTATCAATGCCATATAAAATAAAAAGTGCATGAACAATTTGATTTATTTCATTATAATCAATTATTCCATCACCATCACGATCATAAGCATTATAAAGCCATTCAAGTTTTTCACGTGGTGTACTAGCATTACTATGAATATAAATAGCAATAAGAAATTCATCGAATTGTATAACACCATCTTTTGATAAATTATCAAAAGCTCGAAATATTAAATCCGAATAAATTCCTGATGATTTTGATGGAAGTAATTGTTGATAAAAATTAATAAATTCCATTTTTGTTAAACGACCAGAATGACAACGAGTTCGAAATATTTCATAATAATGTAGAATTTGTTCACGAGAAAATTTTGTTCGTTTCGTCAAATATTCAATTTTATCCGATGTAAGTTCATTTGTTTTTGTAAATGTTGAAAGATTGTCTTTCTAAAGAAAGATGAGAACAAATTTTAATATTTAGTTATTTAAAAAGAAAAATTAAATTCACTTTAGTATTCCATATTGTATTATTAAACATTGGAGCCAGATATTCAAGTAAATCTGTACATTGTTTACATAATCGAAGAAATTCATAACAACTTAATTGTCCATCACTATTGATATCAAATTTGGCAAATAGACTTTTTAATTCATCTAATCGATTTTTTGTTAAGAAATGCCCATGAATATGATAAACTAAATAACATAAATCTAAAAATTCACGTTGATCTATCTTTCGATCTTGATTAGTATCATAAAGAACAAAAATCCATCGAAGTTTTTCATCATTATCTGTTTCTGGTAAACTAATTGCTTTAAAGAAAAGTAATTCTTTGAAATTTAATCGTCCATTTTTATCTGTATCAATATGATGAAATAAACGTTCAAGTAAAGGTCGTGAACTTCGTAAATGTTTTAATTCAGTAGAATATAGATCACAAAATTGATCGAAATTAATACAACCAGTTGGATAATGTGTTAGAAAACGAACATGAAAATCATTGATCTGTTTTCGAGTAAAATTTGTATGAAGAGTTATATAGGATAAATCACGTTCGCTTAATTCTGGACGTTCATTACGACCAGGAAGAAGATTTCCCATCCTCTGCAATATAGAGATATGAATATATAAGGGATGTTTTCTTCAGGAATGACTAAAATATTATCATCATACAATATTCTCTGTTTTTCTTTCTTTCGCATCATAGGAAGAAAAAATATTGCTACCGTCGGAGAATAAGAAAAGTACCGGAAGCAGACAACATCATAAGTCACTAGAGAATTTCTTTGTTAATCAATGAGTCATATGAGTCAATATGTTTTCTTTGCATATGTTTAGATCAATGTAATAATGTTTTCTTTAAAAGATGTTTCATTAATTTCATCTTATGTTCAAACTTATAATCATGTTCAACCAATAATGTCACGTTGTTTTCGTCTTCTTTTTTCTTTGGCTTGGAACGCTGCTATTATGTGAGTAAAACATATTAAATATTTTCAAAATGATTTTTTATTTATTTTAGTTTTCCATATTTATTTTCCTTTGGTACACTTGCTGCTGGTTTACAAATTCGTGTTGATATCGATATTAACTAAATAATAATAATAACAACAACAACAGCAAAAAACACTTTTCTAATGTCCCGCAGTATTCGTGATCTTCGTGAATTAATTTGTTTATCTCGTTTTGGTTTTCGTTCTGATGAAAATGATTTAGTTAATGATAATAATGATAATAATAATAAAAATAATAATGAAAATAACCAATCAAATGATACCATACTCTTTTATTTTGATCCTTCAATACTTAATAATTGGCTTGAAATAACATCATCTCGTCTAGAAAAATTACGTTCATTAACAACAAATAAATTTATTAATTTCATTTATTTTTGGTTAAAACATTTTGATTATGAACATAAACAATCCCTATTTCAAATGGAATTTGAATTATTTATTGAACATTTACTTCTTGCGTTTACACCAAATGATATTGATTCCCTACAAATAAATCAATTTGCTCGACAAATTCTTCATGATATTGATCAACAAATAGGAATATATTCAATTGAAAATGATTATAAATTTATCTATCATATTGACGTATTCAATCGTTATAAACGTGATGATCAATATCGAACAATATTAGCTGATTTACCAAATCAATTAACAATAAATATAAATAATCGTTTACATTTACAATGGATGTTAGCTATTCGTGCATTTGGACTTCTAGCTGTATGTACAGCAGCTGTTGAGTTTTTTGAAAAAATTCAAAAGACACTTGAACAGAATAGAACAACAGGTATAAATATGAGATAATAAACAAATTAAAAACTGAAAGAAGTTTCTGTATGGAAGAACCAATATTTCAAAATTTGGACAAAATTCTACTTGTATTTCAGTTTAAGTTTTCTTTTTATTCACCGAATAGAATATTTAGTTTAACGAAACTGCCATCAAACGTTCAGCAAAAACTAAAAAGTTTCTGAAAATTATGATTAATTAACATATACCAAAGTCAATATTAATAAGCCTGTACGAAATGATACATTTTGCAAATTTTTATTGAAAAATCTTCAACACTGTACACACGCAGTTAATTTTGACTTCAGTTTTTACATAATCGTAGTTATTAAAAATACGTCAATGAAATTTCATTCCGATACATATCTATTCAAAAGAAGATTGACGTTATAAATTATCTTGTTTTGTATTTTCATATCAGAATATCTCTATCAATAAGAGACAAAAGATCAATAATCATATCGTTGCTTTTTAAATCATGTGTTAGTCGTTACCAGTTTTATAAGATTTTTATAAAATAGCGCAATAATGTTATCATAGTTTCTTGATAAAATTAAAAGCGTAATACTTGGAATCTTACAATTCTATAGAGTATTATGTTGATATAACAATCTAGTTAATTTTCAAAAGATTTCCTCATAAAGGGTGGCCCACAATTGGTTTTACGATAAAAAGTTTGAGTATCTCTACTCTATTCTATTTTAAGTATCTAGTATTTTGTTTGAATGATACAGAAAATTCCAGAGTTTTTTCCATAAAAATTTATGACCTTAGAGGTCATAAGAAGAATCTAAAATTTCGAAGTATTTTCTTTTAAGATTTCTATAAAAAAAAAACAAGCACCAACAAAGATAGCCGAGGCAACTCTCGCTTTCACTTCATTGCGCTTAAAGAACGACACATGATGAGAGAAAAAAAACAACTACACATCGCAGAATGAAACACACGATCGAATAATATTCTCGCATGAATATGTTAGAGCCATCTTCGACATTGTAAAAGATAGAAATCCATTACTGAAGCTAATCGTACTACTTCAATGCAATACTTATAAATGTTATTCTTACGGAAAAAAAGCTCTGAAATATCCTCTATCATGAAGAAAAAACTAGTTCCATAAAATGGAGCAGAATGAAGATATTCAAATTTTTTATCATAAAGTTAAAAAAATCTCTTAATGTCATTTTTATATGTATTTTGTACATATATAAAAATACCCGACTTTATCATATAGTTAATTTTGTCTACAGGGTTGTGCATAACCTTTTGCTAGGGGGGTAGCGTCATTATTTCAAGTTGGATACCTAATGAATTTTATACCAAATTAAAGAGCGTCGAAAACTGGATTTATTAGTACTAAATAGTAAGAGTTATCAAAATATGTTAATGTGGAACTTACGAAATTT